TTTCTTTTTTGCCATAGTAACCACTACCCTCTTTCTTGCCCAATTGCTTGCCTGTATTTGAGTAGACATTACCTGGCATAACTACCCTCCTAGCCACCACCAGAAATTCTGCCTTTCACATGCCCGAGCAAGCTACCAAAGGAAGTCTGCTGTGCTTTTCCTGGGCAGGATCAAGCAGGTTTCCAGCTCAGACGCTGCCTGGATGATCTCTTTTAAGTCACACACAAGGACCAGAGATCCTTATGAACATTACAGAAGTCTTTCACACCATCTGATGTGGTTGACCCAGGAATTCCCAAATCCTCTTTCTGACCCTAGCAAGTTCACACCACTGTGGCTTCAAGATCTTCCAAGTCCACATGCTCCATAGGGCACTCTGCTCCCACCTATGAAGCTGACATTTGTTGATGTGTTCCTCACAGTCCTATCATGCTCCTTATATTCGGCATCCACATTGAGTAGCAGCAGGAGGCTGAATCTTCCTGGACTTGACAGACTACTCCAAGGCTGATGACACCCAGCATTAACTGCACATCAGATGTGAGAAAAGCTGTTTCCCAACTTTCCCTGGACTTCATTCAAAGCAACAGCTGGCTCAGACAAACTCCTGAGAAAGCTCAGCTTTCTGCCAACCAAGGAAATCTCACCATTTTGTAGAAGGCATATGGTCTCAGATTGGAAGACAACCTGCTGTTGGCTGCAGTCATCCGGACTCTTCCATGTTTTGGATACTTATGAGAAACACTCCTCTTTTCCATCTCCTGGTGGAAAGATGACATCCGATCTCATTTCAGATTTTGACGAGTCAAGAGCCTCTGACCTCTAGACTGAAGACAGCTCTCTCTGGTGTAGTATGAAACGGGTAACTTCTCAAAAGCTCTTTGGTGTTTCAGGACACAGTGGCCATGCTGTTTGGCAGCGTGCCTTTCTGATAGCATATCACGCTTGCTGGGCTCTGTTCTTTTCACTACTCCCGTGGGATTTTCAGTTCAGGACCGGGATTCAGTCTTCACTATTGGGGCCCTCTTGTGATCACAACATCAGTTACCTCCCCCTTCCACTGAAGAACGCCACCATGTTTTACAGAGCTCTTTCCTGTCTCTAATAGTTTTGCTACGGATTTGCTAAGAAAGTGTCTGTCTACAGAGGAAAGAGGAGCTCGCTCCCAGATCTGGATGCAAATGGGCTCCTGCATCTCGCAAGCTAAACTTTCTCATCATACCAAGACTTTCAGCTATGCCCCACTCTTGTCTTTGTACCCCAGGTTGGCGCCAGGCAGCTGAAAGACCCAACGATCTCT